TTTGTTATTTTACTTTTTCGTCAAACACTTTAATAATTAGATTTCTACATATATATTATTTATGATATGGTTTACAAGAAATTGCCTTAAAAAAAAAAATTAAAAAAAGCCCGGCAATATAAAAGCCCGTTAGGCCCGCTAAGCCCACGAGCCCGGCCCGTTTAGCCCAGGACCATATGGGCTTAGGCCCGTCACGGGCTGATTCCACCCGTTGAGCCCACGAAGTCCGGGACCGTGAGGCCCGGGACCGCCAGAGCCCAAGCCCGCTAAGCCCGACCCATCTGACCCATTTAGGCCCGGCCCCGACCCAAAATACAGCATTAAGTAGGAGAAAGAGATAACAGATTCTCAATAACTAGCTCCTTCCCACTGTTTGACTGTTATAACCATTGGGACTCAATCTGGGCCATCCGATTAATTATTCTTCCCACTTCTAATCTTATCTGTTTATCTCAGCTCACTTATTATTTAGCTTCCTAAGCCGTTCACATGCCCGTTACTAACTACAACCCTAATGCTCAATATATCCTTACACTTTTTCTTTTTATTCTCATTTCTTTCAGACACCATTTTACTTTAACAAAATAATACTCCGGCTATTCCAATTTATATGACTATTATTATTGGGAGTAAAATAGCCTTTTTTATAAAATTATGGTTTATCATAATTATTTAATAAAAAATGTAAGTTGTAATTAAAATATTGACCATACCTTTTCATTCCTTTTGAAATACAGGAGTATTTATAAGAATATTAATTTATGTTCTTCGTTAGGTTGAAAGTATTTATGTATACGTTTTACATAAGATTTTTTAAACAGCTTTTTTCACGTTAAATTGGTCTGCATTTACTCCATTAAGGAACAAGAATTTGACAAAATTAAATGTAGCAACATTTTTGTGAAACACAATTTCTTTTTGCTAATATAAAAGATATGCTGAGTGGAGAATAAAGAAGTTTCAAGGACGGACCCTCCCTCGGCTGGAAAGTTGCTCCATTTTATCAATTTCGACAGTCAGAAATAGAACTGTAAGTTCTCCCTTCGTCCCTTTCTGGACACAAAAATCACTAATGTCTTTACCAAATGATTATGTCTCCTGTTATTCATTACGGAACCAGTGGCCAATTGGCGAATTCAGAATTGTAATTCTGAGCTGGGTATGGTTTTTGAAAAGCATATCTAATTCTAATATCAATCTATTTTTCACACACACATATATAGAGTTTAACCTTATGCGCTGGACTCATGGTTGGTTCCGCTACTAACAGAACCCTCAGTTTTCTGTAAATTATCTGTAAAAGGGATTTAAGTTGGACATTTGCTAATTACTCCCAAAGCTCAGCCTATTCCAAAAATGTTAGCAGCATTTTGGCCTTGCCTTTGCTCTGTTTGATAAAGTGTGTGAATGGGGAGCTGTCGTTAGCAATTTTGTTACTCCCTGCCTCCCTATATTCCATTTTATGTGGGTCTATTTCCGAATTAGTATGTTTCAACACTTTTCTCTATTTGGAAACAATTTAACTTCAAAATTTTCTTTTTATCCTTAATAGCATGCTTGTCATAGAAATGTTGTAGCATGTTTAAAACCATAAGTTTCAAAGTCTATCTTTCTTTGTTAAACTGCGTGTCTCGTCAAATACTACCATAAAATTGAAATGGAGGGGCTATATGTGTGTGTGTGTGTGTGTACATTGCCAAGCTTGACAACACTTTGGAGCTTAGCAGCCACAGATTTCATTTTACTTCTGAAGTTAATCAAAGCCAAAAATATGTAATCTGTCCTGGTGGCAGAATAACCTATTGGGGCTAACTTCATCAGTTCGCTGGAGAATTTTGCATTTGTTACCTGTTAAGATTGTGTGGATATAGCAAGAAAGAATACATCTTTTGTTTACAAATTACAGTTCTTTAATAGCAATGGCTCTCTAACCATTTTTAGTTGCAGCGAGCATACTTCCTGCAAAAGAGCATGCAGATGCGACAAAATCTTCTTTTTAGATCCAGTCCAGCTATATGCCGTCATGGTGTGTGGGATCTTGTCCCTGTTTATCTGAAGCATCACGTTGATCCAATCAAACGCAAGATGCTACATACGTCTATTCAGCTTATATTGCAAAGTAGAGCTAAAAGATGTGGCTTTTTAGTTAATTGTCGTTTTGGAACCATTGACTACTCGAGTAATGAGCAGCAGAGTTTTCATATAAATGGTGAGGAGATTTCTTATGATTTATACAATGCATCCATTTGTGAGTTGTGTAGTGAAGGTGATGTTGATAAGGCAATGGGGTTGCTTTCCCAGATGGAGGCTTTGGGTTTTCATGCAAATTATTTGTCTTATTCCAGTTTGATCGCTGCTCTTGGAAGTGTTGGCAGGACCTTGGAAGCTGATGCAATCTTTCATGAAATGTTATCTTCTGGTCGCAGGCCAGGGGTAAAGGTGGTCAATGCGTTACTTAGGAGCTTCTTGCGAAAAGGCTTCTTAAGGCTAGCAGATAAGGTCTTGATGTTTCTTGAAGATTTGGATGTTGAGAGAAACCAAGAAACTTATGAGATCTTGCTTGAGTATTATGTCAATGCTGGGCGGTTGGAGGATACTTGGTCGATTGTCTCCAAAATGAGGAGAGAAAGTTATGGTTTAAATTCTTTTGTGTATAGTAAAATAATTGAACTGTATAGGGACAATGGGATGTGGAAAAAAGCACTAGGCATTGTGGAAGAGATCCGTGAGATGGGGTTACGATTGGATAAGCGTCTCTTTAATAGCATCATTGATACTTTTGGCAAGTATGGTGAGTTGGGAGAGGCCTTAGAAGTGTTTGAAAAAATGCGCCGAGATGGCATAAAGCCTGATTTTCGAACATGGAATTCTTTGATCCGGTGGCATTGCAAGTTTGGGCATCTTGATACTGCTATAGATTTGTTCGATGAGATGCAAGAACAAGGACTATACCCTGATCCAAAGATCTTCATTATCATTATTACCCATTTAGTGGAGCAGGGTAGGTGGGATGTTATCAATAAAATTCTCAAGAATATGCAAGGGAGAGGACATCACAAGAGTGGGGCTATTTACGCTGTCTTGGTTGATATTTATGGCCAGCAGGGTAGATTTCAGGATGCAGAGTATTGTTTAAATGCTCTGAAATTGGAAGGTCTTCAGCTTTCACCTAGCATCTTTTGTGTCCTGGCCCATGCCTATGCTCAGCAGGTGAGGTGTTGTGCTGTTCCTTTGCTTATATATTTAAACATAAAATAGTTAATGATTATCTGAAAACGTGTGCACTAGTTGAGTAGGTCGTAGCCTCAATATGTTTCTTCTTTTCCATTTTGGGTGTGGGGGTGGAGGAAGGTGCCTGAGGGCCCTTGGGACTTAGTGTGCAGATAGATTGAAAGTTGGAGATTTAGCACGCAGGTAAGTAGTCTTCTGATTGAAAGTCCATCTCTCAGGATTGGTATGTGCATGACTTTCATGTTCCTAGTCTTTAAATTGGATTAAATTCGTAGCATTTGACCATTTTAGGTTCTCTTCGCAACTAAAGAAATATGTTAGTTCGAAGCATATCTGAATAGTTGGGTGCAAAAAGATATTAATACATAGTTTGTTCTAGAAAGAAGGTAAGGAAACTACGGTCTTCCAAATATTCAATCCAAGTTTTTTAACTGATTGCTAATTTAGTTCCTTATTATTTTGTTGTCGGGTGAAGAAATGGGAGAAATATTTGATGGACGGATTATCCCCTGGTCCCCAGTTATCTATTTTTTGGTTGAGATACAGCATAGGTTGTAAGAGAAGAAGAGAAAAATTGATTTTGGGATGTATTACATTATGGTATGAGGAATGACTCTGGGAGTGTCTTCAAATTGCAAATTCTTTCATTGAGATGTGAATATTTTCAACATGGGATCAGTGGCATGACTTAATTCTGTCACTTTATACGATGGTAGTGCAAATCTTGGATTAGATAACTTTAGAAAGAGTTTTTGGGTCGAGTTGAGACTTAAACATCGGCCTTCCATTTACTTTGTCTTAATTTCTGGCATGGCTTGTATTCTTGTTCTCCTTATACTTGAGGTCTCTTTTTACATTTTTCAGTCTACACTGTAAGGTCTGCGTACATATTACCCTCCCCAGACCCCACTTGTGGGATTATACTGGGTCGTTGTTGTTGTTGTTGTAGTCTACACTGTGGGAATACACTTGGTATGTTGTTATTGTTGTTGTTGTTGTATCTATGCAATTAATATTTCCTTCACCTGCATATTACTTCTTTTGAGATAGTATCTTTAAGCAGCTTTGAGGATATTCCATTTTTTTTTATATTCTTGCCTTGTGTGCAGGGATTATGTGAGCAGACTGTAAAGGTTCTGCAGATAATGGAAGCCGAAGGAATGGAACCAAACCTTATAATGCTAAATGTGCTTATCAATGCTTTCGGGACTGCTGGTAGGCATATGGAGGCACTATCAATTTACCAGCACATAAGGGAGATGGTAAGTCCTTAAACATTTCCAACTTTTCCTCAGGCATACTTCCTGAGATAAACTTTGCTGATAGTGGTGCTGCTATTTTTCTAGGGTATTACTCCTGATGTGGTTACTTATAGTACTTTAATGAAGGCTTTTATGAGGGCTAAGAAGTTTGATCAGGTAAAAAGATAAATGATTTGATTTCTTTTCTGGCTTCAGTGAGAAAAGGGAGTAGAAATCATGGAAATTATATGCTAACTGAACTTTTTCTATATTTAGCAGCATTTATTTGGCTCTAATTTGTTGTTGCTTGTTAGGTCCCCAAGATATATAGTGAAATGGAATCCGCTGGATGTACGCCAGATAGAAAGGCTAGAGAAGTGTTGCAATCAGCATTGATGATCCTTGAACAAAGACATTGTTAGTTTACATACAACTTGTTAGCCTATTCGGCTCTAACAATGCTGTTGTTAGCTTCTTCATTCAGAAGATGACGTACAGCACCAAAAACTAAAAAGCACTTTTGATGCTACTCACTGTTATCCACAATCTTTGAGGACTTTGATACTCAAGTAAGATAATGTCCTTGATCTTCAAAAAAGTAATTATTTCTTAATTTTGCTTTCTTTTGGTCTCGTTATTCATTCTTTATCTGTTCTAAAGCTTTGGCCTTGTCGATTTCACGGCCTTCTTACTTGTTTGTGCAGCTTATTGCTGTACCACTTCTTGGTGCCTTATTTAGGTTACGTATCTTCCTGAAATGAAGTTACGGCAGAGCAGCTTGTCATTTCTGAGGTTTGTGAATATGGATTTCAATCTGTTCTGGTTTATATTCACATATGGTATCATACTTATCAACCCGTGGTCACATTTGTGTGCAAGTCTGCCCAAGTTTTGTGCACAAGAAAAGTCATTGGAGTTATATTTAGCCTTAAAATTTCAGTGAAGTTGCATAGAAGTATTGTTCTATTTACGGAGTTAGAGATTAAACGTGCAATACAAACTTGTGCATGGAATTCTATCCTTTTCTTGATTGGAGCATACTGTAGTTTAGGACGCAGTTATACCCTGATTTCTCTCTAAGGCACCATATATGTTTATTCAATTCATTATAGGCTTCATTCATATTATATCTGCCACTATTCGACCTGTGCTTATCCCCCTTTTTCCTATGGAATCTTCAGGTTTCAGTAAATGACACCCAGCCTGTGCCTTTTAAAGGAACTAACTTGTACTAGCAAGGATACTCAGTAACAGCAAGGTGTCCTGGGCACCTTCAGGCTTCACTTATCTTCTTCTGCCGTTCAAGTGGTAAAATAAAGGTGCAATTAATATGTTGTGTCTGGTGCATGTAACCATTACTGATATTCTCTTTTTTCCTTGGCAGCCATTTTTTTCTCCAATTGTACTTCTGTTTTCTGCATTATTGCTATCTCAACAGGGTGAGAAATGGTTCACCTTGGTTTTCCTAGTCACAAGCTCAATTAGATGCGATGAAAGATCAGAATCTGCATGTTTCTTGAATAACTTGATGCTGCGGAGATTGTATTTGCTTGCTGATAATGTAATAAATTTAACTTATATATGCTGATAGTGTTGTTGATATTTTACACTATTAGTGTGTTCTAACTTGTTATAGCAGATTGTTTACTTTATTTATATATTACCAAATTAGGCTTAATATGGAGATTTACGTGTTGTAGATCATTTTACCCCGATGGTATAAAAAAGTTGCACATTGTTATGCAATTTATAGCTTGATTAACTTCTATGCTTACATAATGAAGGGAACAAAAGTAGCATCTTTTAAGGCTAAACAGTACTATTGTGGGTGTGCTCTATGTTGCTGCAATAACATGGTCTTTGTTTGACGCTGATGCAGAATTTGCAATTGACAACACCAAATTTAGAAAGAGGAAGGCCACTGCATTCTTTTTAATTGTGCATACAACTTTTTTTCTTTATTATTAGGACTTGGAAATATAAATACAAAACGTTTGAAGAAATTACGAGCCCGTTTGGACATAAAAAAAATCATTTTTTTCGAATTTTTTTTGCCTTTTCTCTCGAAATTAGCGTTTGTTCATAAATTTTTTAATTTTCACTTGAAGAATTTTGGATTTTTTTGAAAATTTGAAAAACTCAAAAAAGCTGATTTTTAAAATTTTCACTCAGATCACTCACAAAACTTCAAAATAACCCAAAGTTATATTCATGTCCAAACACAACTCTAATTTTCAAATACCATTTTTACTTGATTTTTTTTTTTACTTTTCTTTTGGGGGATTTTACAATTCTTTATGTCCAAACGCCCACTACATGTCTGTGGTATAAGTAATAAGTTCAACGTTCTATTTTGATTTGACGTTCAACTCCAAATAGAATCCAAAAATCCGCAAGATCATATAAAAAAAAGTAGTTCTAGCCAAAACAATGGAGTATTTAAAAAATTAATGGATTTGAAAAGGAAAAAAGTATAATTTATTTTAGAAAATGCTACGTGAACCAAAAAAAAAATCATGTGGTAGGCGTCGGTTTCACACATTCATATTATAGATTTTTTCCCTCAAATCTGCACTTTTAACTTAACAGTGGTGTGTTGTTTTTTAGAGAATACCATGAATATACAAAATGCATTTAGAATGAGACTTAAAAGAAAAAGCATAGTGAAAAGAATAGACAAAAGCCGTCCATAGTCGTATATGCTGAATGCAAATTATAAGTTATATTTGGCGATATTTTCGCATTAGAATAAACTTGTCCACTTTTTAAATACGGAAAAGGGTTAAAAGTGATTTAAAAATACCCTTCATCCACCTATTGGCTAAAAATATCCCCGTCCACTTTTTTGGTTCACTTATATCCTTTGACCATTAGGTCAATGCTGAATTAAAAATAATTATTATTTTTTTTGTAAAACTTAAAAAAATATTTTGCAAAATATTTTCATTTTTTTAAACTAATGCACCAGTAGTCTACTAATTTAGTAAAGTCTTCTTTTTATTTTTTCTAGTTTTTACAAAACAAAAAAAAATCCGTTTCTTTCAAATTTTTTAAAGCATTTTTTTTTTGTAAAAACTGATTTTTTTTGTTGTAAAAACTGACTTTTTTTGTTTTTAGCAAAATATTTTCGTTTTTAAAAAACTGAAAAAATATTTTCAACATTTTTTTCATTTTTTTAAAGCATTTTTTTTTTTGTAAAAACTGAAAAAAATATTTTCGTTTTTTAACAAAATAGTTTTTTTTTTTGAAAACTGAATTTTTAAAAAAAAACTAAATAAGGGGTTGGTTGTGGTTTTTTTTTTTAAAACGGGTTGGGTAAATAAAAGAAATGGGTCGTTTTAATCTGGTGCTGCCACGTGACACTCCATCCAAAATAGGAGTATTTTTGTTCCAAAGTATGACAGTAGGGGTATATAACCCAGAGTTAGATGGAACTGGCGCGCCTTTTTTTTTTTTAACTTTTTATTCGGGTCGGGTTAATGTTTGGGGCGGCTTAGTCCGAAAAATGGTTAGATATGGGTTAGTCTTTCTAATAGGTTAGATGTTTTAATTTCGACCAATAAGAAGTTGCCACGTGAAATTTAAATAATTATTATTTTTAAATCAGCATTGACCTAACAGTCAAAGAGCATTGTAAGCACGTGATTTTTGCCCTATGAAAGAATTACTCCCAAAAATTCAAAATAAAATGATTTTCCTTGGTGTGCAATTTTGAGAATTTTGTGACATTTTTGGATAATTATTTGTATTTGTCTGTGCATGTTTATTTGTTAAATTAATAAAAAATACAAAAATATGTCGCATTTTGCATGAAGGATTTAATTCAACAATTGTTGGTAATTAAGTTTGTTTTACAAAAAATAAAAATTACAAAAATAGGCATCTTTTGCATTTTTAGCATTTAATGTCCAAATATACAATTTTACGCTTAATTATTACTTAAATGTGCGTTAATTGTTATTGGGAGTTAATTTACGGTTTTATAACTTAATTTAGTTCTTAATAATAATTTAAGTATTTTTATAATTTAGTTTTAGAAAAATAAAAAAAGAAAAGAGGGCAAAAATGCAAAGAAAAATCGGATTGGGCCACTTCTTCAATTGTAAGCCACAGGCCCAAAAAATTGTCCAA